CATTGATATGCACTCTATAGAAATAGACACCGACATTGTTTTCAATTATTTGAAATAAATTGATATAAACAAGGGAGCCGGTCCTGATGGTATCCCCCCGTTATTTATACAAAAATGTTCTTCAACTCTTACGTTACCAATCACTATTTTATTTACAAAATCCTTGAGGGAAGGTTGTATGCCGGAGATCTGGAAACAGGCTTGGGTTACTCCAGTTCCTAAAGGTAAAGTCAGTTCAGACGTTGAAAAATATATACCTATATCTTAATTATGCCATTTCGGAAAAATCCTTGGTAAATTTGTTACCTAATTATGCCATTTCGGAAAAATCCTTGGAAAATTTGTTACCGACCAACTATCTAGGCTGGTTCGCCGTCATGTGTCTTGTAGTCAACATGATTTTTACAAGGGTCGTTCTGTGGAAACTAATTTCCTTAATTTCACCGAAGTTGTAATGGAAGCTATGAATGACGGGTTCCAGGTGGATGCCGTGTATACCGATTTTGCCAAAGCGTTCGACAAAATTTGCCATAATACTTTGTTAAAAAAGCTCTGGCGACTTGGTATACATGGTGATCTATTCCGATGGGTAAAGGCTGTTTTAATCTCTGGATATTGCTCGGAATTCAAATATATTCATTCTGGCGTCCCCCAAGGTTCTCATTTAGGACCATTATTATTTATACTCTATATAAATGACATAACTAATTCTACATTCTGGTGTTTTACTTTACGCAGATGATACTAAAATATTTAGAATTATCCGTAAGGCCAACGTTTGTACACTTTTACAGCATGATCTTTGTAAATTTGAATATTATTGCAATACAAATAATCTATTTCTTAACCTTGAAAAATGTCATATTATTAGTTTTACAAGAAAAAAGAAAATTATTAACTTTAAATATACTTTGGCAAATACAGCATTACAACGAGTATACCAAATCCGCGATCTAGGTGTCATAATGGATTGTAAACTATCTTTCTTACCGCACCTAGATTAAATTATAAACAAATCTTACAAACAGTTTGGCTTTATTCTCCGCGTTAGTAAACCTTTCAAAAAAAATTTTACATATAACACACTTTTTAATTGTTTTGTCAGAAGCCGATTAGAGTATGCTTGCGCAGTGTGGTAACCATACTGTATGAAACATATCGATGGAATCAAGAGGGTTCAGAAAAAAATCATTAAATTAGTAAACTATCGCAATTGTTACGTTCAACCAAGTTATACACAGTCACTATCTCACTATCATATTCAGAGTCTTGAAGAGCGTCGAAACTGTGTCGACGCACTTTTGTTCTATAAGATACTAAATACCTTTGTTAATTCTCCTTATTTACTTAATAAAATAAATCTAAGAGTACCTCGCAGACTCGAACGCAATTGTCGTGATAAAAAAATATTTTATATTCCATTTAATAGAACATGTTACGTTAAAAATACGTTTAAAAGACGTGCATGTATAACGTTTGACCAAAGTGAAAAACTTACCACTATTGATATATTTACCACATCAATAGGCAAAATCAAGAACGCCTTTAAATTATACACTGCTTGATTGTGTATGTAGCTTAGAATTTAATACCCACACATGTAACGCCAATAGGCTTTTCCTCACATTTACGTATAGTTCCTTAGTTTAAATTGATTAGCGCTATTTTGTTCACTTTATAAGGTTTGTTAATAATTTCGTCTTTGTGCGGTGGGGCCCGTTGGGTCGGGGACGGTTGATCGTGCAGGTTGGCTCGGCTTTTCATCTGTGGAAGTGCGGCGATGTGTATCCGTTTATCAATTGTGCGTAGAAATTATATTTACATTAATGCATTACTGGAGAAACAACGGACGACCAATTCGTGGGCGGGCGGCCGGGTCGATTTGTATCATTAGCTCATTTCGATTTGCTGGGTTTTCGCTGTACAGCGACGATTTCTAATTATGGAAACTATAGGTCTGTAGTGATATAAAATTGTATATTCAAGATTATATATGTATGACCGTTTGTTTCTAATAAATAAATAAAAGACCTATCCAACACCTTCCAGCTTAAAATAATGGAAAATTTTCTTCAAAGATTTTATTTCATCATTTTTATTGTTGACCCTAAAACAAGGTATCATCATCAGCCTATTAATGTCCCCACTGCTGGGACAAAGGCCTTCCCTATGGATGGAATAGGGAGATTGGGCCATGACCCACCGCGCGGGCCCAGTGCCGATTGGTGGGTGCTAACGACTGCAGATGCAGCCGGCTTAACGTGCCTTCCAAAGCACGGTGGAGCTCGAAATAGTAAATTTTTGGTCACCCATCCAATGACTGGACACTGCGAAAGTTGCTTAACTTCAATGATCGCAGCCGAACACGCTAACCACCCGCGCCATCGAGCTCCTCAAAACAAGGTATACACCTGTATTAATTTATAGATTAACATCATTTTTGTTATGATGATAATGTAAGGAAACACATACCACCACCATCATATCATTATCACATTATCAAGCTGGTCTGTAATTAGTAATAATAATTCCAACTTAGTTTATATTAGAGGGGAGAGCAATTCAAATACTACCTTTCAGAAATATACATGTTGTGATTTCTTGGATCCAATTATACCGAACGAGTAGCTAATACATAATGGATCCAAAAACAGTCCGACACTTTGCCACAAGAGCCCTGCGAACATCCACTTTGCTAGCTTTAATTTGTGAAGATTTTGATAGTGGTAGGCATTAAATGCTTAAAAAAATCACTTATGCCAAGCATCACACGGGATTCGAACTGAACTGAGATGCGGTCATCTTAAGCTTCCCGCATCTTCTTATTTCGTCCGGATAGCCGAAGATGCTGGTTCGAATCCAGTCTGATGCCTGGACCTCTTTTTTTCTTCTATAATCTTCTTTACATTTATAAGTACCTCTATAGTGTTTAATTCAAAACATATACAGGTGTAATAAATACCTACTAATCCGTGTTTACAAAACATCGCAAAAGTTGTCAGTTCAGTGAGTGGGTAAAGTCGAGCCAGCAGCGTAAATAATTAATTAGTTTTTGCACACTAAAGCTGTTGGGATGTAGGTATACCTAGGTACTATGGACGTAAAGTGTAAGGCCTCTGCCTCCAATTTTGCGGACAGCGGGGAGGCGGCGCGGTAGCAGGATTTGATGCATATAATCAAATGGACCAGACTTGTCAAGCGGTGGCCACCCCAGCGTCTGCATTTATAGTGTAGTACAATTAATTTTTGGTTGTCAATTGACTTTTCTGTTGGAGATATACCTCTATGTCGTTTTGGATTAATACCAGACTATTAAATCGCCCTTGATAGCTTCAAGAATATGCACAGTCAAAAGTTTCTCCACTCATTCTGGTGAAGTCGTAGAATTTGTCAGGATGTTAATATAGTTGGGATGTTGTCTCTGTTCTTCATAATTTTGATAAAATTCGCCTTTTATTTTTATTGCCCTATAATAGGGATTCACACCCTCTTCTGGCCACAATAAATCAAGTGTTAGGAAGTAGTATCAAAAAATGTTTTCGCCGTCAAAAACATTTAGCCGGCACTACCCTACGCCGTTCTCGTGCCACGTGATCTATCTACCCGCGCTGGTTTCAAAAACTGGGTCTGCCCGCGTTACCCATGCCACTAACACGCTGCCGCGCGCCTCTCCGCTGCCCGCAGAATTCGAGGCAGAAGCCTAAAACCGTTGAAAATTTAAAACGAATGCACAATCCGGTGCCGTGCCGGAGGCGCTTCGGTGGTTGTGTATGAGGCGTGTTTGGGCCTCTGGCCCACTGGGGCGTAACACAAACTTTACCTTTGTATTATGCAATGTAACGAGTTAACAACGTGTGTGGGTAACGCAATACAGACGTGAAACTCCTCTTTTCCCAAAAAAACATTTACGTAAGAAACACTTATTTTAGATTCATACCCAAGTGGTAACACGGTACCGTCAGCGAACTGCATTAAACGCTTGTTAAGTGGGGCTGGGATAATTTTAGGTACTTTTTCCTTGCTTTTTTTGTTTCAATTGTCGCCTTTTTATATAACTAGTGGATGCGCTCGACTTCGTCTGCGTCTGCATGGAAATATTGGTTTCCCATACCAAATTTGAACACCGTTCTACCCCTTCAGGGGGTGAGTTTTGGAAAATCCTTTCTTTGCGCACTCTTACAACACAATCAAGGGCGGATCCAGCTTTGGCGCCAGGGGGGGGTCATATAGTCGTGGTATATTAAATATTGAAAGTACTTAAAAACAATCCCCCTGGGTTTGGTCCATCTGTACCCAGCCCAGGGGGGGGGGGGTCATCACAATAGCTATAGGTACGTGTGCCTAATTTCAGCGCAATCCCTTCAGTGGTTTGAACTGTACGTTGAAAGATCGTTTTATATATAGATACAGATAAAAAATGTGAAAAATGCATATTAGTACCTTTTTCAACTGATGATAAGCTGACACCATAGTCAGAGTTGCCACTGCCACAATATTGAGGGCTCATACCAACGATATTAAATACCCTAGATACACCACGTGCGCTCAAAATGTGTCGCAATCAAGAAGTGCTGGAATACGACTCAAGCACTTCTTGGTTCACCGTTGAAAAGTCAAGTAGTGTCCTATGAAAGTCGGTAGTTCCTTATAAGGCCAATCAAAAATTTTAACGGTTGGCCTTGCAAGGATATATAGACCTTACTAAGAACATTTACAAATCATGGAAATATGAACACTTAGATTATGGCGGCAAATACGTACCGGAAAAGTTTTATATTTATAATATTATTATTTGTAAGGGTCATTCAACTTAACCTTCTTAGAAAAGTTTTGGCCTTACAAAGAACGGACCCATAAAAAGGCCATTATAGACCAATTTTATTATACATAATTACATTCCAAAAAGTATTGGTAACTTATTTGTTATTGATATAATACTCATAACTATATATATTTTTTAATTTTCATTAATATATTCTTAGTTATTCGGTAGTGTTTAAGGAATATTCGTTGAGTTTGATTTGATTTAATGTTTCGTTTAAATGAAAAAGCTTTTTATGTAGTTTTAGTAAAAGCGTATATTTCGTTAATTACATTTCTAGTTTTAAGTTGAACAACTGATTTATAATATTGGCCTTGAATAGAGACCTGTTCCTAGAAGGGCCGTTTGGAAGAGCTTAATAAAAGTTAAGTTTAATAAATATTTGTTAGTGATGACATTTAGAATAAAAATAAGTAATTTATATGTTACACAATAAAACACAGTGTTGATTAATAATTTATTCCTTTAATTTATCCAGTAAATTAAAAAAATAAAAACTGTTTATTCGTTAGAGTGACCTTCCATAGTCCAATCACCTTATTACAATTGAGAGATATTTAAAAGTTTCAGCAAAGGTTTCAGTTGTTCTTTTTCTTTAAATGTGAAATCGAACGGGTTCGTGCGTGACCAGAATTAATGCAAAGCAAAGTGTTGTGATAACTAAAATGAAAATAATTAGGTAAATACAAAAATACGTTTATTAACAAACAATTTACAGATATCATTCAATAAATCTAATCTTTTTGACACAATATCACAAAACCCTTTAACAAAGTGATTCATTGTAGATATAGTACATTTATAAAATGAAAACATGATTTTAATAAAAAACTTGATTTGGTTCCATTCCATTTCCATTATAACATGCTTACTAATAGCGGACACGAAGGACTTTAGATAGTTTATATGGAAAAAAAGTTTACGTTTTTATTACCAATTGACAAATTACAAGTAGGTATTCTATACTATATAAAATATAATATTATATAGAGGAAAGATTTGATTGTTTTTTTTCTTGAATAGGTTCCGAAACTACTGGACTGATTTCAAAAGTTCATACACATTTAGGATCCTACATTATCCCTGATGAACATAGGCTTGTATATATGGAGTATTTTCAAAAAAGTTAGGGTTCCGTATGAAAAATTTGATAATGTAACCTAGGGTGTGAAAAATATACCTTATATCGCTTACGCTGCGGAAATCATTAATAATAGAGCAAAGTGATCTGGTAAAGTTTTATAGAGAACATAAATATCTGCAATAAAGTCCGGGATATCATATTGCTAACAACTAACTAACTATTACAGTTATGTCACAACTAAAGGTCTCCTGCGGTTTCACCCGCATTAATTTGAGGAAAAAGGTTGTAGTGAGTCAAACTTAAAAGATCGGCATACGCTGTCGCGGACTTTTTTATAGAACTTTCAAAGCGGCACAACTCCGTCATACATGATTTTTGTGTCACTTTAATCATTTACGCAGCTCACGCAACGAAATCTTTTACCCTTTTTTGCAACATTTTACATTGATACTCCGCTCTTACTGGTCGCAGCATAATATTATACAGCCTTCCTTAATAAGTACCTGAGATTTGCGCGTTCAACCAAAAAAATCGGCCAAGTGCGAGTCGGACTCGCCCATGAAAGGTTCCGTAGCAACAAGTAACATAATATAAAAAAATCTTGTAATTCGTACTTACTTTGATCGATGTTTTAATAATAGTGTATTTTTTTTAATTGATTTGTGACGTATTAAAGAAAAACTACTTACTAGATCTCGTTCAAACTAATTTTCGGTGGAAGTTTGCATAGTAATGCACATCATATATGTTGTTTAGTTTTATCAGTCTCTTATTTTAGAACTTCCAGGGGGGGGGGGGGGGGCACATTTTTCCACTTTGGAAGTGTCTCTCGCGTAAACTATTCAGTTTAGAAAAAAATGATATTAGAAACCTCAATATCATTTTTAAGACCTATCCATAGATTCCCACATGTATGGGTTTGATCAAAAAAAAAATTATTTAGTTTCAGTTGTAAGTATAACCCCAAAAAAATTCTTTTTTTTTTCTATTTTTGTACGAAAATCATAATGCGGTTCACGGAGTAAATCTACTTACCAAGTTTCAACAGTGTAGTTCTTATAGTTTCGGAAACATGTGGCTGTGACATACGAACGGACAGACGGACGGACATGACGAATCTATAATGGGTTCCGTTTTTTGCCATTTGACTACGGAACCCTAAAAATGGTGCATTCAGTACAAGGGGTTCTAGACAACGCAACAAAAATTTCACTATCAGTTAAATAATAAAATGTATAAAGAAATTCATTGTGTATAATACAAGCCTGAGAACAAAAACTATAGTCTACACTATAGCTCTACACCGAAGCGAACCGAAGGCCGCCCACTAGTACAATTATATTTATGGATCTATTATATCGTGGTACACATTTTTTTTGTTAAGCAACTAAATATATAAATTAGCAATAAGCAATAAAATAGTGCCCACACTAAACAAAACTTCAGAACGAAGAAACTTTTAAATAACCTTTGTTGCTGGCGTTATGGTAGTGTACACCAAATGTTACATATACAACGCGAGATTTCCTTTTAACATATGATACATGTAATTTAACTTCTATCTAGGAACAAAATGTATTGAAATACAGTCGCAAAGAAAAATTTTATATTCATGGGAGATGGAGAAAGGAAGACCGACGTATGACAAATTGATCATTTTCGTATCATTTCATCAAAAAAGATCTTGTCTTGTTAGAAATGATAAATGGTCCTATAAAAATAATTGTAAATACTACTTTTATATAATTTTATCAAAATTGTTTTTTAATTGATATTTTATCAACTAATCAATGAAGTTATGACTTTCCTAGATCAGTATTAAATCAGATTTAGCATAAGCTTTGTATTAAAAAAAGTCTTGACAAAGCAATAATTTTCTTTTAACATGTGATACATGTATATTAACAATATTTAGTGCATAAAATTCTGCCTCTGTTAGTATAAATACTGTGTATGAATTCGCAAAATGATAAAAAAAAAACATTTCATTGTAGAGGTACAGGCATGTTGATATTTCTCATCAACATGCCTGTATCTCTACAATGCACTGAACTTATTATAGATGTTTTTTATGTTCGGGACAAAATATACCTGTATCATAATATGTCAAAAGAAGTTCTCTTTCTATATGCACAATTTGGTTTCCATAACCATAACGTCAGCTTCAAATGTTATTTAAAACTTGACTTGTTCTATATATATATATCTTTGTTAGTTTATGTGCATTGTGGAATTTTGCATAGTATGGGCACTTTTAGAGCACTCTCTAATCATCATCAACTAATAGAAATACGAACGATTCCGGACTATTTACCTAAGGTGTAAAACTTAATAATGGTAAGGAACCCTTCGTATGCGGTCGTTTCTAAACCTTGACCGGCTTTCATTAATTATGGCTCAATTTGAACAGGATATTTTACAGTATCGCATAGTTCAACATCATTTATACATTTTATCAACCAGTACTTGTTAACATGTTTAACATTTTCAGATAACTTACTTTTCAATCTTTGTACTTTTTTAAGTTTTACAGTATCTTCATTGTGTACCAAATAGTCAACGTCGAACTGTTTTAAAGACTTGACCACCGTACCGCCATATGCTATCCAATGTCTTTCAAAGTGCATTCTTTCTTCCTCTGGGAAAGTTATGAAATCCGGGTAAAAACCTAGCCTCTTATCTTTGAATGCATCAGGCAATGGGTTTTCTGGATATAAATCCTCGATAGCAACTTCAATAGAACCTAGGTCATTATCACTGGAATCAAAGCTTTTATCTGCAGAAAAGGATCTGTCCACATCTTTTTTAAGCTTTTTAATTTTTGGCTTACTTTCTTTTTTGACAAAAGTATCTGATTCAGGACTTTCCTTAATTTTCTTAACTGATACTTTTTCATCGCCATTATCACTAACATCACTGCTTCTTTCCCGTTTTATTTTAGTTTTCTTCTTTGGAGTTGAATCTTTATTAATGTATTGGTCTATCGTATTCTTAGGACTCGGCTTTATCTTCTTTTTAGGAGACTCATCAGATTCAGAAGCTGCTGCAGTCTCAGCCAATTTGTTTAACAGTGAGACATCAGTCTTTTCCTTTGACGTGTTATATAGATGCTTGAGTTCTTCTAAGTTAGTAGCACTTTTCCAATCTTTATCACTTCTTATCCTTGTCACTCTTGGAAACCTTACTGATATCCCATCTGCTGTATGCAATCCTGCCTTAGTCAATTCAGTTCCTAAAAGTAAAGTGACAACAAGATTATAAAATGTTGTTTTCTATTTTAAGTCTTCTAAGTTTTAGAGAAGTATAAGCGGAAAATTAATTGTTAACCTATGCTTCTTAATGTAATAGGTAGCAGCAAACTTCCTGAGCCAAACCACAGACAAATAAACTTGCAAAGTAGACGTATGTTAGATTACTACTTGCCTATGGTCGATGCTCATGAAGTTTGCTGGGGTGTATGGCATTAGGCATGCAAAGAACTTCTTTATAAATAACTAGCTGCTGCTCGCGACTTCGTCCGCTCTAACTTTAATTTACCTAAAACTTTTACGGGATAAAAAGTATCCTATGTCTATTTCCAGGTTATGAGCTGTCTGTGTGTCAATTTAATCCAAATCTGTGAAGTAATATTTGGGTGATTGAGTACCAAATATACTCACAAACTTTTACATTTAGGAGTTGTCCCCGAAACGAGATGCTCCGGGATCGAGGTCAAAGGTGATACGGTTTTCTAACAATCCCTTTATCAATATCTATAAGTTTCAGTCTGACCGAGCAAGACCAAAGTGAGTTAAAAGCAAAACGAAATCCGTTTTCTTACATTTGGAATGCTCGTGTTCATGTTTTATAGTGTTAAACTAAAATTAAAACCCGTGACCACGTTATAATTCAATTAGATTTACGTATTTAACAAACTGCATAGGTAACTTAAATTGGCAAAAGAAGAGCAAAAAACGAAATTCCTATGAAAGGGGCACTGATTTTGCGTCTACAGTGCGCCACAAACTGAGTACAATATGCGTTGTATGGACACTACATTTAATATATATACGAAGGCGAACGATAGAGGCAAACGGGCAGCCGCTAAATGTGAGCCTAATGGGGATGTCACCGACCAGTCTTACGCACGGGAGGAGACGTGCGGGAGGAGGAACCACTACCAAGGGGACGAGCATCCAGCGGCGGCGGACACTTGCTTACGCGCCTCGCACAGCATCGCATGGGCCCAACCGCGTTCATATTATGTATAACACCACGTCGATGTAAAATAATCTGTTTTGTGATAAATATACCAATTTACCTATAATTACAGTCCACGTCATTTAAAGTACCCATAGGACCCTTCTCAGGGGACAACACCTTATGATATTAGATGGAAGGTAGGATATAAGTAGGTAGATACATTATTTTGTATAAATCATCTCTACACTCATATATTAACAGTTAAATACAAGGATAATAAAATACTTAAAACTCTGACTGATAAAGTATTTGGCCCGATCCTAAGCTAATATTAGCAATCATCTTCTATTATGGACTTATCACTTTACACAATAACAAAGCCTAAGGCTAGATGCAATGTATGGTTTCTTGATTCGGTTTTTTCAAAATTCAGATTTGGAAAAAAAAAAGGATTTTTCCATTCTTAAAAAATAAGAATAGTATACACCTCATTGGACATTTTGTGTGTAAAGTCAAACATTCAGGTCTAGGTATCGGAATTCCTGAAATCTGAGATCAGAAAATCGTATATATTATGCAAAGCTGAGAGGTCAACACTTGGAAGCACTTTTATAATTAGCAGCTTTCAGCGAGTCAATACCTGTGATTTCCCATACAGGCTGTTGTTTTGGGTCCACAGCAATAAAATCAGGTACCATTCCCTTATTACAATCCAACCAGGCGGGTATCTTATTGCTATCTTGTGAAATCTTCACCATCAAAGGTGCCAGTTCTTTCTGCAGCCTATCCAATGTACTGTCATCATGGCCTGTGTGCACCTTTGTCACAGTAACCCATTTGTTCTTCCTTGTGTCTAAGCAACCCATCAGGAATACAGACATCATCCCTCCTTTTTTGCCAGTACCTTTAATTAAACATAAATATTGTATCAAAAATTATATACACTCCTGGACACATCTATCAGCCCACCTAGTTTATTAAGTTTTAATGGTCCCTAGATAAAAATAAATGTTACATTGAGCAAAAAAATTTTACTTACACAATTTTGAAGCTGATTTATTAACCATCTTTTTGTGTGTTTTTAAAGTTATTGCTCAACCATGAACATATATTTGTGCTACAGACCGTTGTAACTTATAACAGTAAGTGGGCCAAAAGATGTCCGGGAGTAAAAGTAAAAGTTTACAAAAGCTTCTCTACTTGTTAGTTTCATATTACAGCACTGAAGCATACTGAAAAGCAAAGTGGAAACTCAAATATGTTTGTTTCACAGAAGCAAAAATATGTTAACTACAAAGTTAGAGGTTGAAATAATATATGAAAGATCTTATCGACGGTGAAAAAGCAGAATTGCTAATACGCCACTTTGGTGCAGCTTAAAATTAACATTAAATGTAAACTGGAATTAAGTTAATTTTTAAGCAGCAACCAAGTAGTGTATAAGCGATTTTGCTTTTCCACTGTTGTTATGATTATAGTGTGAGGTGCAATTATCTTTTGTTTAGTAATACTTAGTTGCACTAATATCATAAAGTTACCTAACTAACCAAACCAGGCTCCTAAAACCACAAGGTCCGCAGTATCAGCCATAGCTCCATCAAATAAATAGTCCTTTTTTACCTTGAGCCAATGTCTTTTGCCTGGCTCATATGTAGACTCTAAATCTTTCAGCACAAGGCCTTCTAAACCTAATGTTAAAACCTGCAAAATGAACACAATCTCTCATTAGGTCTATCCAGTAAATGACACATGAATTAGTCCAGTTTAACATATTGATACTTTACCTTGGCTATCATTTTTGCCAAATCAGCTGGCTTTTGTATCAGCTGCTGTTCCGAAAACATCACATGGTTTTTCACTTCCATCATATGATCATGAAGTATTTGCCTTCTCTTTTTTATGGGTAGGTCCATTAATACCTTGCCATTGTAGTACAAGCAATCAAATACATACAAACACACTTGCGCATCTTTGAATGCTGATTGTTTATGGATACCCAATGTACCAAACGGTAAAGGTTTTCCTGTGTTTACATCCACCATCAAAACTTCTGCATCTAATACCATATCTACAGCTTCAGGGAATGCCTTTGGCAAGTAATCTTTGAAGTGACTCACTTTGTGAGGCAAGACTGGCTTTAATGCCCTAGAGAAATATTTAAATTCACTGCCTCTTTTGTGCACCTGCACTCGCTCACCATCATATTTGATTTCTGAGAACATTCCATTTGGACATTTCTTCATTGCCATTTCAACAGACTTACATGCCTCCGCTAGCATTGGGAGCACAGGTGTCATCAACACTAGTTTTGCTTGTACACTGGTCTGTGCAGCATCTTTATGTTTGACACCAGAATTATTTGATAGGACCCGATCAAGAACCATGTTTAGGTCTCTAGATGTTTGAAAAGCAGTGTATGCATCAGGATGCACTCCTTCCAATATATGCTTGGGTCCAGCATTAATTCTGAGATCACCTTTAATTAACCTTATAAGCATCAATATGTCATCCAAAGTACATTTCTTAACAATTAGTTTGAATTGGTAAATCTGTTCTTCCTCCTTTGTTAGTTTTGATAATTCTTCAAGGAAATTTTCTACTTCGTGTATAGTAATGGTACTTTCAGAAGCAGGTTTTACATTTCTAGATTTTGTAAAGTAATTTTTTATGGTCTGCGCAACATCTCCTTGCTCTAAATCCGTGATCATATCATCATGATCAGTATTAAAAACCCTTGAAAATAGTTTCACCAACTGTTTGCTCTTTAAGTTGTAAACTCGTTTCGTTACCTGTGGTAATAACAGTTTACACCACAATCCTAGGTCACCTTTAAAGGAGTCCCCATCAGTGCCTTTCCTGAAGAAACTATTAACTGTTGCAGTCTTCTCCGTGTATGCATCAACTCTAGATATCTTTTTACATAAAGTAAAAAATGTCTTAAACAAGTTATCATCAGTCTGAATATTCTTATTACTTTCTTTACTTTTACCTTCTGGTGAACAAGCAGTTGATGTGGTGTTTGTTGATATCGACTCATTTTTTATAATTTTAGCTGTGTATTTGCCAAGGTTTTTCTCGGCATAAAGCTTTTCCATTTCATTTATTTTCTTTAATAAAAACTCTTGGTCTTCCTTGGTCAAAGTATGCCAGTTACCAATGTCATCAATCGAATCGATTCTCTTCGTTGTTGGACGTTGTTTGAGGAGGGCATTCATTAGACAGTCAACATGATGCCACGATTTCATTTGTTGGTTTTCGCCATACGGACTTGCTACCACTTTGGCTAGTCGCAGTTCGCCACTAGGGCAGTTGCCTTTACAGCCTTTACAAGAAGCCCTGCCTGTTTTGGCTCGATCAACGAAAAAAGGTGCAGACTCCGACATGACTGTTTGATTCCACTTTATTGCATAGATAAACAGTGAATATAATTTACGACACTAAACATATAAACCAAAAACCGGGAATTTATAAAATAATCACTCATTTCTAATAATTTACTTGAATCACCATCTAAAGACACACAAATGACTGGCTGCATTTGCCGCCACTTTACATTGCTGTTTGTAAACTTGACAAGAGTCTGTCCTTATCATACTTTATATAGAATGAAAAAGGCGGACTGATGTCAATGTCATGAATGGATAGCAAACACGAATAGCCCAGTGAAGTGCAGGTGCAGCCACCATTTGCCATCTCATGTTTACTTACTTTAATTGACAGTTGTAGTGACGGGATAGTCAATACCTGTTAAGTTATCTATAACATTTAACTGTGATGATAACTGATGATAGTAAGATGGTAATTTTATTAACCTTCTATTGTGATACTTACTATTCTAAGAAAATATATAGGTAATGGTGCCAATTCTGGCGTGATTCTCTAAACTTAAAACTAAATTTGACATCAGTCTCTCCTTTTCATTCTGTATAGAGAATGACAAGGATATACTGCTGTCAAATTTAAGTTTAGGTTTAGAGAATCATGCTAGAATCGACACCAATGTTGGATTTTCTAGTCTATAATAAGAGAATTAGAGAATCTACATGCTTTGTTGATAATTAACAAAGGTAAGTTGCAGGGTATTGTATAAATTGCGATATTGTAAAAGATTCATAAAGGAATCGAATAATTTTCTTAAGAGAATAATTATATAATAAAAAAAAACCATTGACATATAAAAACAGAAATTATTACTATAATGGTAATAAAATTGAACCTAGCTGATGTAATTGTAGCCCACATATTGAAATTGTAACTAGGTATTATCAGATTTTTGATGTCCTTTATTATATAGAAATTGAACATTTTAATAAATTCGCTTAAGTTCACTAAGTTAATCTAAGGTGTCTTATATGATTTTCTAAACAACAGTACAACAGTTCTTGTCATTCGCTATATAGAATGAAAAGGAGAGACTGATATTAAATTGTGTTTTAAGTGTAGATAGTCATGCCAGAATCGACAATTATTTGTTTAAGTTAATACAAATTTTATCAAAAGGAAAATATTTGGTATAAGATTTGAAGTTAGAAGAATTAGTCGCAGAATCGTATATATTAGCAATCACACATTAAAATATAATACAAAAAAAATTAAGAATAGAACATACCCAAAACGAATAACGTTATTTTACCATTTGGTATATTAGTCGATAATATAATAGCACCACATATCATAATAATTAAATAACATGAAGACTTGAGCCTCACTATTGACTTTTTATCACGCATGCGCACGCTGTACCCGCCGGCGTATGTCAAATGTCAACGTCATATTTCTAGAATACGTTCGGATACACCACGTTCAGATTACAGATTGTGTCTAAAGACACCACGACTCCCCATGAGTGAAATAAATTAGCAATATGTTTATATTTTTCGTTTCTATTCTTCCAGCTTCATCATGTCACCAAGAGTTTAACAGCGATGGCACAAAACACGGCACTCTAACTTCACCACACTTCCCAGCTCCATATCCACCGAATACGCATTGCCACTACGAGTTCTTCGGCAGAGGGAAGGAGAGAGTTAGATTAATATTTCAAGATTTTTACTTGTATAAATCTGCTGACGGGTCCTTGGAGTAAGTACTTATTTCTTTATTAATTCCCATTTGATTACAATGGATGACCATCGGTGACTATCGGTGGTTAATCTAATACTTTGTGGAAGGTTCATAGAGCAAAAAAATATTAATATGAAATAATAAATTGAATACTTAACTTACAACTTTACCCGATATATGGCGCTGCAGTCGGGTTTTAGGTTTTTTTTATGTCAGGGTCACCTAAACATCGAAAAAAAAAATTCTTAATCTTTTTCCTGATTTCGAATTTTATATCAAATCCAATTTTTGAAATTTCAAAGGTCCAGGGGTGATAAAGAGGTGGGTTAGGGTCACCTAAAAATCTAAAAAGGTTTTTTTTAAATACGAATTTGATATCAAATCTATTTTTTGTAATTTCAGAGGTTCGGGGTATGTGAGGGGGTCAGGGTTACCCAAAAAATCGAAAAAAAAACTATTTTTTTTTTCTAATTATCTTATATATAAAATTCTCGTGTTACAATGTTAGTTACCATACTCCTACGAAACGGCTTGACCGATTTTTATGAAATTTTATATGCATATTCAGTAGGTTTGATAATCGGCTACTATCTATTTTTCATACCCCTTAAGGGTTCTCCACCCCTAACATTATTTTTTCAATGTGGCATTAAAAAATACGTACAACCCTAAATTTTGACCCTTCTACCGCCAACCCCTACTTTTATGACGATGTTCGCTGGGTCAGCTAGTTTATATATAATAATAGGTTAGTTGACTCATGTCGAATTGTATTAAATAAATGTTTATTTCTTAAAGTATTTGGTCTAAGGCACCTAAATATATCGATTTCACTTCATAAAAACAGAAGATTGCTGTAGAAATTTAATTTAAAAAAACATTTTTTAGTCTATAGGTACTTTTTAAACACTAAAAACGCTGTTCGCCACATCCGCCATGATTGTGACGTCTCTTTGGTAGTAAACAACTAAATGTCATTCATACTGATACATAACCTTAAAACTTGTATTATTTAAACTGATAATAAATGAAGAGACTTAAAACATTATTCAATGAGTACTTACATCAAAGTAATCTTCGTTGAATAAAATTTACTACGAGTCGATAAAGTTGCAGGATCCCTTTTAGCAAGTTTTGACCAGGTATTGCGTAGTTTAATTTGTTCCGGCACTTTTTTTTATTTTTTTTATGATAAACTCAGATAGGTTATTTTCTACGTGCGAGTTTTTGATTACTACCGGTTAACGTCATAGCATAGATAATCTTTAGACTAAAATTGCCGACAGCGTTTTTGTATGTCGATGAAAAGTCTATTTTAAAATTAAAGATTTGTAGCTTTCTAGGTCTCAAAAAAATACAATACATTTTTTTCGGTCTAGTAGAACATTTATTAACCATTTAAAACCTTTTTCTAAAAAGGGTCAACTAGCCTATTTACTATCAAACACCCCGGATTCGCACGAGAGTTGCTAATTCATGGTTAAAATTTTGTCAGTTATTGGATTGTGAGCCGCAGAATGACAAGAAAACCTTACAGACACTTCATATTGTCTCTAAAATCACTTCAATTTATTTTCAGTTGCACAAATGTGGACTCGTTGCAAGCGTTCATCTACGTCGACGGCCGGTTAGAAAAGGTAGACATGTTTTGCGGAGTCAACCTGCCCAAGCCAATTATGTCCAATGGCCCGAAACTAATGCTGGAATTCCGAGGGACACAATCTTCGAGATACGCTAGAGGATTTAAAATATCTTATTCGTTTGTAGAAAGTGAGTAATAAATAAATATCTGCTTACTCACCTATGAAAATATAATAGAGATACAGTTTGTCAATAAAGTCATGAAAGAAGAGGAGGTCGCTACCGTCGCTTGCATGGTATCCCTGTTATACATCGACTAAAACGCTTTGATATTTGTTAAAACTACTATTGTATAATTATATAACTGCCATACATTTCATTATTATCAGAGTTTCTATCTTATTTTATCATCATCTTAGTTTATTGCTGAACATGCCTGATACTTTGCTGGAATAAAAAAAATTACTCAATTGTTTCTAGTTAAAAATTTCTTGTTTATAAATCGAACAGATTAATGCTGAAAAATAAAACTATAGTAAAATTATAAAAAAATTTCATGCTTGACTTTCGCGGGCCAGTCTAACGGACACTCGAGCCACTTATGACCGGCCTTTTTTCGGACACTTGCTAAAGGTGGGAAATAAAACAAAGATAGTTATTATAGTCAATATATTATTACTATTAAGAGCCCAAATAATCTAATTAAAATGAATAATCCTGCGTTATCAAGTTGCTGGTTGCTGCCTGCCTCATAGGATTAACTGGAACTGAATCATGGTCGTCTGCACAGTTTCATCACAGGCAAAATTTTCGTTTTCAAAATATTTACAAAGATTTTCCGTTCTTGTGGAATAATTGCCTGAAATACTTCTTCAGCCAAGTAATGCTCGCATTTTGCAGCAATTGTTGAAAATCTGCTGTTCATGGCCACCATCAATATTTATATTTTCTCTCACCACTGCTAATAGTTTTCTAAGTTTTCTCGTATAAAAATTAACTTTTTGACTAACTAATGGCACATAATATTATACCTACCTACTTCTGTGTTTTCTATCTTCATTATTAATATTTCGTCTTCTATGCCTCGAATTGTACTGTTGAAAACATCTGAAGCTAAGACAAGTTAAATGATAAAAACCATGTTCACAAAATGTTTAAATAATATCACAAAAGTATCGAATCTGTAGGGCGTAGTATGAGTTGCTAGTGAATTTTATAACCTCAACACAAAGTAAACAATGCACCAAATCAGATGTAGAAATCATTTATTTCTCAATGTTAACTTACCGTCTTGCTTTGTTGTTCGACTATAAATGTTGTCAAATTCGTAAAATGACCTCCCCACTTGAAATATAGTCTTTAAGTTCAGAAAAACTTAAAATATGAACTGCTTCGCACCGTTTATATAAACAGTCCGATTAATTTGATATCTCGTAACGATGAAGGTAAAAAAAAAACTAATTAATATTTTTAAAACAAAATCACAATAAACATAACCTTAACCTAACAACTAGGCTACGCTATGTGGCATTGTGGCAGTAATTTAGTGTTGCCAGTACCAGCAAAGCTATTAGTTCCTCAAACACTCTTTTTATGACTTTATTGACAGACTTGTACTTAGGATAATGGTACTCGTACCTTAACTTGCATTGTTTTTTTTTACGTTTAAATCTGAGTAAATCCCTGGTCTTATCATGATGCTCCCTACCCAATAGGGTATGCACCATAGGCAAATTTTCAAGCAAAGACAACTTGAAGAGGTCTATTATGCTGCGTACGGATAGCGCGTACATTGGTACGCTCATGTCTGGTTATGCGGTGCGTAACTTGAAACGTCATGTAAATAATATCTGTAGCTTAGCTACGCATAGCTACGCATAGAAGTACACTCTACGACTACAAGTAGCTATGAGTATGGACATGGCGTTACGCGTACCATACCTATGTCCGCGCTGTCCGTACGCGACTTTACAGATATAGAAAAATAATCCAAAAACCGTACTCAGAAACGTCATATTAATTTAATACCTCATTAAGTCACGTGTTGTCTCATTCTGCGCAAAGATAGGGCGGTATCATATTGTAGACTGAGCGCTTGTGATCATAGTGTTCGACAAGTTTTTCATTATATTTTGGACAAGGATGACATTTGTGCTTAAAATAAGAGCACCGTAATGTATTGCAACAAGACCCATCAAATCACAACCATTATTTAGTTTCCTTTGCTGAAATCGACACGCGATACGGGGCGGGCAGGCCCCAGCGATCGCACCAATATGTCCAATTTCTAGATCCTATCCTATTTGAGTGAGACTGGTGATCTGGGTTAAGCGGGTAGACCATGAGTTTGGCCACTCGTCGCTTGTAGTTCTTAAGAGACTTCTGAGCCTTACCTTAAGGTGCTGATTAGTGCGCAATGTAGCATATGATATCATGCAAAGAATGGCAAACGGCTTAATTTGTGGCGGTGAGGTGAAGAACCGGTTTCTGTCCCATATATATGTCCCAAAGCAAAGTCCCAATCAATCTTTAATGGGTGTTAAAAAAAATATGCATTGATTGCAATGATCAAAATATATATAGTTAGATTTGGATACTTTCTTTGTCTTCCTTTTAGCAAACAAACATCATTCATATAATTTTTAGCTGAGCTGACTGAGCTACAAGTTGTAAGCTAAATTTTGTAACATAAGGAACGGAACCGTTCGGAACATAATGTTTCTTACAATGCATTAACGATTAGCTTCAATGAATAGAAAATTTCTTTATGCTGTGTTATAGATTTCGGAATCAACACAGGGAGACAACTGAAGGAGTTCCCGTGCGCCTTCGTATATAACAGTAGTGAGGGCCGCAATGGTACATTCGCGTCCCCGAACTACCCGGGCCCGTACCCGCGGGACACGGAGTGCACGTACTTCTTCCACGGCGGAGACTCTGAGAAGGTGCATCTGCACTTCAGCAACTTCGACGTCGAAGGAATTGAGCCGTAAGTACTTTACAAATAAAGTAACATCAATAGTTTCGTCTTTATAGGAGATCCCGTGCGCTTTCGTGTATAACAATAGTGAGGGCCGCAATGGTACATTCGCGTCTTAGAACTACCCGGGCTCGTACACGTGGGACACGGAGTACTAGTACTTCTTTCACGGTAGAGATACTGAAAAGGTGCATCTGCACTTCAGCAACTTAGACGTCGAAGGAATCAAGCCGTAATACACAAATGAAGAATCATCAAGGGTTTCCTTAAAAGGAGTTCCCGTGTGCCCTTGTGTTTATATAACACAGTAGTGAGGTCCGCAACGGCACATTCGTGTCCCCAAACTACCTGAGCTAGTATCCGCGCGACATGGAGTACACGAACTTTGTCAATGGCGGAGAAACTGAGAAGGTGCCGTAAGTACTTTACAAATGAAGAAACATCAGGGGTTTCGCTTTTAAGGAGTTTCCGTGTCTTCGTGTATAACATTAACGTAATGTTACATTCGCAATCCCAAACTATATATATAACCGTACCCGCGGAACATGGAGTGTACGTACTTCTTCCACGACGGAGACACTGAGAAAGTGCAACTTCAATTCAGCATCTTCGACGTCGAAGGAAATGAGCCGTAAGTATTTTACAGATGAAGATGAAAGCACCGTCACCGAATGGACCAATACCACGGTAATGATATTATTACCGTGCCAATACTGATATATTGGTCCATCCGGTGACGGTGCTTTCATTATAAGTCAATTAGTCCTGGCGAGGCTTGCCCTGCGAAAATCGCAAATCCACTACTGTTTCATTGAAATTGATTTTGATTTATATGTTATTGTAATAAACTCAAAATAAAATTAAGTATCTTGTAAAAATTGTTAATTTGTTAAGTTCGCTAAGTCAAGAAAATAAGATATAGTGTCTGGAAGATTCGGGCTTGCCCTGAAGCCCTGGGCACTCCACTGGGTCCATCCATGATCAGGGGCTCCGTTATGTGCTTGATTAAGGTGAACGCAGACTTGGCCGTACCACCACCACCGCCACCTTTAACCTTAACACCAAATTGCATGGTACGAGTAAGGTTTGTAATAAACAACGCTTTGATAAAAACGAAAAACATTAGTTTTTATCAAATCGTAAGTGGGCCGGCCAGATTTAGGGGCCTCCACTGCTTCGTTGCCCCAGGGCCCCGACACTTCTAAATCCGGATCTGCCTGCCTGTCTAAATTTAGCGACTAGTCTCAATATCCTGTCCCTCCGTAAATCTAGCTATACCTACTATCGTTTAGTAATAAGCAACAGTCGTTGTTTTCAATTACTATCTAGCAATAGCAAATTTTATATCCGCCACGGTTAACGGCTTGTGCGTTGTTCACCTAACTCATGGTGTAAAGAATAACATATCAAAATCACTATATTGTACGTTCCAGGTGCGAGGTGGTGACTGCTAGTGATTACGTCGAATTGTCTAACTCAATGACTGAAGACAGTAGATTTGGTAGATTCTGCGGCCAGAAGAAAGAGTTCCACGTGGAATCAGAAAGAAACTTCTTCAAAGTCACATTCCGTTCTAATGACAGATTGGACGGCACCGGATTCAAAGCTGTCTATCAGTTTTTAGAAGTCACAGACGAATACCAATCGCCGATGCTAGATGAAGCTTCAAGCTCTGTGTGTAAGTATGAGAACGATTGTGTTATTTTATAGACAAGCTTTCATCCTAAAAAACTCAAATATGTTTTCCAAAAAATATAATGAAGAAGCAACATGCAGGCCGGCGGCGGGGTGAGGATGGCTGGTGTGGCAGGTAGAACTGCTGTATCAGCTATCTTCGCGTCTAGACTTCACCGTCACTTAACCTCAGATGGGGTGGAGTCATTTGTCGGAACTATCTATAAAAAAAAAAATGATATCTTGTAGAAAGGTGATCTTATCTCAAGTACACATCATCTTAGTTCTCTTGTTATATTAGTAGGTCAAAAAAGTACTCTGATCAAATGGACACGACACGACAGACAATAGGCATGATGATGGGTTAAAGTAAACAGAATTCTATTTAGACCGTCAGTTTGATTATCCAAAAAATAATGGACACTTATTTTTTCCCTTGTCAATCAAGCAAAATACAAAGGTAAAGTGCGTCAAAGGTCAAAGGGGGTGCCGCCACTTCTAAGCAAATTTTTTTCCGAGATGTGACGTCATGTGACATTTCAAATCAATTTAACTCTGTATTTTTTTGATTAAGTATGCGAATAAAAAAAATACGTGTCCAATACTTTAAACCAACTTCAAAAAGGAGGATATGTCTAGTCCGGAATGATAAGTACATGTATACCAGGCCACTTAGAAAGTTTTGCGAAATAAGTTTTTATGTATAAGACACTGGCCACTTGTGATTATTTTGAAAACTTCGATTATTTAAAAGTAAAAATAACGATTCTACTGTTCGATTTTCAACCTTCCGTATTTTTTCAAGAGCAAATTAAAAAATGTCCTGCCTCATTAAAAAATCGATCTGCATCGAGAACATTTTCGTGCTACGATTTTTTACAATTTTAAATGTGGCTTTTAAATCTGATGAGTCATTTGATCGATTTCGAACTGCTTTTATGGATGAAAGACCTTTAAAAGCAATCATCTACCGCTGGTGTAGCGAGTTCAAACGCGGTCGCCTTACTTTGGGGGATGAACAAAGGAGTGGTCGTCCTACGACGGCTGTCACCGAAGAAATTGTACATGTACATGTACAAGTGATGGCAGTAAAAATTTAATTCAAGAAAAAAGACGAATTACGTACGAAGAGCTTCAGTATACTCTGCAGATTGGTTCAGGAACTAAGATTTTGCACAAGCACCTTTGCGTAAGGAGGAAAATTTCCTACTGGGTGCCGCACAACCTCACCGAAGCTCAGAAGCAGGCCCGTGTGGATTGCTGCAGTGATTGCGGCGCGTTTACGATATTGTGACAAGTGACGAATCTTGGATTTATCAATACGATCCAGAAACAAAGCGTCAGTTGATAGTTTGTCTGTTTCAAAATGAACCAACCTATGAGAGTGAAGCGATCGAGGAGCGCAAATTTTGATCGCTAGTTTCTTCACTTTGACGGGGTACCTAATTTCAATTCCACTTCGAGACCAACGCAGCAGCAACGCCGAATGGTATAGCACAAAATGCCTGCCAGAAGCTCCGCGAGGTCCTTCTTCACCACGACAAAGCGCCCGCGCACTCTGCGATCAAAACGTAGGACTCTCTGGACTCCACATCAGTCAGAGTCTTGGGACACCCTCCTTACAGTCCTGATTTGGCTCCGTGTAACTTCTTTTTATTCCCTAAAATAAAAAAAATGCTCAAAGGGATACAGTTTTCATCGCCGGAAGAAGCGCTAGCAACGTTTGAGAAGGCCGTGAAAGAGGTGTCTGCGGAGGACTGGAAAAAATGATTTGAAAATTGATTCAGATCAGACGCATGAAACTTTGTATAGAGACTGGTGGAGAGTTCTTTGGAAAGATTTATTAAAAATATATTTTTCATAGAAGTTTTTTAGTTTCTCAAAACTTTCTGTGTCCCCCACGTATAGAATGTTATTGAGTATAAGGAAAAAGTCTTTTGTTTTAAACACTGGAGACGATAAATTTACTTATTAAAAAAATATAAAAATTCATAATTGCTGATAATATGACCAATAAACATGACCTAACGATTGATTTTTTTTTTAATAAAAAAAAATATTTTTTGTTGCTTAAATATAAAAGGTACATATACTGTTGCTAACTTTTTTTAAGGTCAAGATCTACAACTTTTTTCTAGAACTCAATCATAAAACTCTCATCGTTAAGGCAGTGCTCGTAAGAAAAATTTTCATTCAAGCGATTTCTCTTTGACTTAAAGATATACTTTGCAAATCCGATAGCCAAGCATGAAAAACTAGCGAGGAAGTAATCGCATCGCCATCACGTGCACCGTCAGTTTCTTTGAAAGCTAAACAGCGCCCCTACCGGATGTAAGAACAAACTCCTCCACTCCATACTCCAAACAAACAAGCTCCTTTTATCGAAACTTTGACGATCGAAATACAAATACTTTTTCGCTAGTTGTTCGTGCTTGGGATACTGATATCCAGGAGCGACAGTGACCACTTAACATAAGGTGGCCAGTCTGCTCGTCTGCCTTAGGCATTGTCCTAATACATAGCGATAACGCGATCATCGCGCGATTAAACGATGCGACCATCGCGTGATCGCGAACTGGGTGTCCTAATAGAACGCGAATACGGAACGGGTTAGCCCTGCCCCTCTCCCCGCTTCCTATCGACGCGACGCGATCATCGCGCAAACTTCAGTAAGGACACCTATTCATCATTAATAGGTTTGATTGCGCGTTCGCGTGAACTAAGTTCGCGCGAATAGATTTTTAAACATTTTAGTCGCGCGAATGCATCGCGCGATCGCTTATTAGGACACCTATTCTAGATCAATATATTTGATCGTCGAATCGTACGATGATCGCATCGCTCATTCGCGTTATCGCGTTGTATTAGGACAATGCCTTAGAATCCAATAAAAACACTAGGTTTTGATTATTTTGCTCTCTTGATCTTAAGACTTACTAATCAAAATATTTTCTTATTCCCAGGTATACTTGGACATACTTTACTACTACTGGTTGCTGTGACTCTTCTGCATCTGTGTCACCCTTTATATCATTAAATAAAGTGATATTAGACTAACTATAGTGTGTAATCCTGTATATTTTGTATTATAGTATGTGCCATGCATACACCTGTAATTACGTAGAACGCAATATTTTCTATACTTAAAGCTGTTATGAACTCTTTAAGTTTTCATCTTATACAAACTAAAGCAATACAATTCGGAACACAATAAAGAATTTTTATTCATAAAGGCACGTTAACTTAAGAAATAAACGAATTTGAAATTTAATAGCACTTTTTTTTATATGTTACTATATTGAAAATTGCCGCTCGATTCTCATACTAGAGTCACGAGTAGTGGACATCCATACCCTTAGCAAGAACCAATATCGAAATGAAATAGTTTGCGAGTACGAAATATTATTGTCAAATGTGTACTGATTTTTACTTCTCGCTACGTCCGTTGTGGCGTTGCTGTTCAAGTTGCCATAGAAAATTCGTCAATGACATTTCGCACTCGCAAACTATTCGAATTCGATACTGGTTAGTGCTAAGGGTACCGTAAGTAAAGCTCGCGCATCGATCACGGCATTTAGAATGGAGACTAAGGATAAGAGTATGGCTCGGAGTAGCAGGCTGAGAAGGGCGGCTTCAGGAGTTGTGAGGGGCGACAGAAGCAATATACTGGTCAATAGAGGCATTCGTTACTGAGTAAGTAGGGCAGCTAGAATTTGTAAATCAAATCAAAATACATTGATTCGATTTACTTATTTTATCGCCCCTAGCTTACGGTCTACTTGTACTTTACACTTTAGTTATAAATCCAAGATTTCCTTTATTGGTTTTCATATTCAAGTCGAGGGGGTAAATTGTTTTGGAATCAGTATAGGATTCGACAATGGCGCGACATAGGGGAAACACATTAATTTGCACTTGGTACTCTACCCATTAAAATGCTAAACTGTTTATTAAAATCATACCTTATTAAATAATACATGCACACATGCGCTTACACACACAGTTACACACCACCTGCATCTGACTTGCCTTAGCTTGACTTGCCTGCTCTGCTTTTGCGACTCCACTCTGACGGACGGTCAGCAGAGCTTACGCTCCAGGGTGGAAGTGCATGGCACGTAAAGACGTAATAAAGAGGTAACCCGCTCTCGGGGGTAAGCCCCGTGATGGTGAAACCGTAGCCGCATCTCTCGACACCCTCAGCTGCTCATTTTGTATTACGCTCCGACCGCAACTTCGTGGCTAGTTAGGGAGTGCCGATAGGCAGTGTAGTAAACGAATAGCAAGTCACCATCAACCAAGCTAAAATTGTTGTGAGAGATTTTTGTGTGGATTTCCGTATCTCACCTCATAACACAATTATCCGACATAGAAATAGCTAAAGAAATAAAAATATTGCTCATCCCGTTTGGTAAGTCGCCTATGCCTTTGTTATGATTTCATTACCTATTGAACACTTTGAAACTTCTATAAAGTAATAAAAAGAAATATAACTTTACAATAGACTCAGATTTCTTTACTTTATAAGAAAAATATCTACCTTCGAAATTATATATATTTAAAGAAACACTATTTATTCATGCAATTCAAAAGTCATTTATTCAGTTTAAGCTTTTACAATTACATATGAAAGTCGAAAACTACGCCATCGGTTCGTAAAACTACGGCGGGAGACCTTGCATGGGCGTACCCAGGTAGGGGCAGGGAAGATAAAATAAACGTCAATTTTCCTGGCAAGTGGGAATTAAAAACGTGTTACCTACTCTGCGCAAAATGAAGTGTTGGAAACAAAACATCTTTTCAGCCAGATATTTTGATTTTTTTTTTATCTATAATTAAATATTCTACAACGCAATATAATTTATATCTCCCGCGAAACCGTCGTATCTCGTAGTTTCCGCTCCCGACGAGATAATCAGAGCCATCTAGGATTACAGCCTAGTCTAGTTACGGACGACAACACTCGACAGTGCTTTTTCCAGTAAAGAAGAACGTTCTAGCATGGACTATTCTGGAAAGTAAAGACAGTGATAGCAAGTATGAGACAAGGATGGCAACAGAGTCTAGTATTTTCTACGTATTTCGGGAGCGACAATATTTGAATATATAAGCGCGATCATGAGGCAGAGCAAGGCAATTCAGTTCGAAATTTCGAATACAATTCAATTTAGTTCGGAGTTTAATACGAGCGAATATTTAATGCGCCATAATAGTGTCTTATAGTTTAGTTGCGGCGACACGAGATTTACGTTTACTGCGCAACAACTGGAAAGATTTACTCCGTCAAATGATATCAGGAATTTCTTTGAAAAAGGTGAGTCAAAACAAAACACATATGTATGTACCTAATATGATCATTTGATTTGTTTAAGGGGGGCTCTCTTGTAAATGTATAGGAAGTAATTGATATTTGAATGTGATGTTTTTATAGGCATCTTAATCTTTATTTATTACCACGTTTTTATTAGGTCCGTTTTTTGTCTGTTTGTCTGTTCGGTACAAATCTGGCAATTGATTTTAAACTAACTTCCCGATCTCCGGATGAGCTAGAGACTTGAAATTTTGACTGTAGGCCAGAAGTGGATGACAATACAATATTAGATTGTTTTCTTGTCTATTTGTCTGTTCGGTACAAATCTTTCAATTGATTTTAAACTAACTTCCCGATGAGCTAGAGACTTGAAATTTTGACTGTGGTCAGAAGTGGATGACTTTACAATATTAGATTGTTTTCTTGTCTGTTTGTTTGAAAGTTTAAAAAAAAACGTGGGGTGCAAGAAAAAAAAAATAAGATAGGTAATGATAAAAAGTGTAAAAAGTACCAGTCGTTGAGAAATCTCATGTTAGAAGAGCTTTCTCATTGACTGCTACTTTTTATGCTTAATTGTAATTTAAAATGCTTAGATCAATTTATACGGCATTAGAAAATATTATTTTATACTGTTTAGTCCGCTTTAAAAACGTGGTACATAATTTTTTTTTTCGTTCTATGCCTAAACACCGTAAGAGTAATTATGTTTGTGTATCCTTTTTTTAGGGACAACACGGGAAAAAAGAAAAAAAGGTCGGGATAGTAGCAGTGGAGGAAGCGATGAAAATGACAACAAGAGATCATTGCATGCTAACATTGGACAAACGTCCAGCAGAACCTGTAAATATATCTGTTGCCGATTATTCTTCTCCATCGACATCCCAGCAAACTTATGACGTCAAAGTCGATCCTGAAATTATAGTGGACGATGGCTATCATGAAAATGATCTGGGTCGTTATGTTGGGTTGGCTACTCAGCTATCGACGGAAAAGAAAAGGGAGTTGTTACAACATCCTTAGATCCCGCCCAGAAATTATGATTTTGAAAGTGATGCAAGCCATTTGAAAAGGAAATTTAATAATGCTTGGTTGGATTAATATGCATCATGGCTAGTATATTCCAAGCGACTAAAAGGCGCTCTTTGTAAGCATTGTATTTTGTTCCCTCCGCCCATCAGCACTGTGAGAGGAATTTTGGGATCATTTATGATCAGGCCATATATAAAGTTCAAAAATGTATATTTTACTGCTTTCGGCAGTCTTCATGTATATGAAGACTGCCGAAAGCATGCAACGACCAACCTTCACCTAACAGCGACAAATGCTGCAAAAATTTTTCTTGAAAATGTTCCTGTAGACATCCAATTGCAAAGTGGACACCAAAAAGCAATCGATGAAAACAGACAAATATTGTCATCAATTATTTCTTGTGTAGTATTTTGCGGTACACATGATATGCCTCTTAGGGGAAAACAAGCAGATGAGGGCGTTTTATTAGATTTATTAAAGTTGAGAATCAATTCAGGGGACGACAAATTAAAGAGTCACCTGGAAAAGTGCCGTCGCAATGCTGTTTTTATGTGGCGAAGTTATTAAGGAGAATATGATAAGTGAGGTTCAGAAGACCATGGCTTACGCAGTCTTAGCTGATGAAACAGCAGACGTAGCTCGGAAAGAACAGCTATCAATAGGCGTGCGGGTCTACGACGAAAGCAAAAGGAAAATCAGAGAAGAATTTGTAGGATTCGTTGAACTAAAAGCACAAAATGCTTCAGCAATTGCCGAAGCAATTGACAATTTCTTGATTAGTTCTAACCTCCCAACAGAAGATTGCATAGGGTTTGGATTCGATGGCTGTTCTACAATGGCAGGGAAAGAGGGTAGCGTACAAGCCATTTTGAGAAAAAAATATCCTCGTGCTTTATATTTTCATTGCTCAAGTCACAAACTCAACCTTGTTGTGAATGATGCGAACGCAGTGTCAGAAATTAGAAATACTGTCGCCACTGTTAAGGATGTTATAACGTTTTTCAGAGAATCGACTACTCGTCGAAACTACTCTCCAAACCTACTAAGATTGTGTGAGACGAGATGGCCCGAAAAATATAAATCAATCAGAAAGTTTTCTCAACATTTTCCAGAGCTTGTGAAATCTCTAGAAACGTTATCCGTAGAGGGAAATTATGCCACCAGAAAATCGGCATATCAGTTGCATTCAGCCGTTACGAAACCAGTGTTTATTGTTGCTCTACAAACAATAGCCAAATATTCAGCAGTTTTAGAACCAGTCGTTAACGCACTGCAAGCTAAATCGATCGACATGATCTCGGTGGGGGAACACACCAAAAATATCAAGGACATTCTCAGAAATGACCGAGAGTTTCCTGATAAAATAAGTAATGAAATGCTTCAAAAAGCGCGAGCTGTTGCAATGGATTTGAACATAGAAATTTCGGTTCCACGTCTTGCTCATAAGCAAACACATAGAAGTAATCCGCCATCTGACAATGATAACGAATATTGGCGGCGTTCTCTGATAATACCATACATTGATTCACTCATTTCATCGTTGAATATTCGATTCTCCCAAGAAAATACTCCGGCGTTTGCTTTAAGTAAGCTACATCCCTTGTATATGACCAAAACCAGCATTACAGACTTACACAAGAACGCAGAATCATTCCAAGAATTTTATAACCTGGATATCACTGGAGAACTGAACCTTT